TGGGTTTGGTAGTTATTTCGGTGAAGAAATATGGGAACATTCAGCATAAAGCTTCATCCATTGGAAAGGTGCAGAGGTATCTTTTAGTTAGAGTTCTTAGCCCAGAGCTTCTGGGGATCTGAAAATCTCCAGCGATTGTACGCAAAATGGGAGTATTTGTGTGCATTTTCAGGCACAGACTCCAAATTTGACCAGATTCTCAAAGGAATCTGGGGCTTCCAAAATATTAGGAACTGCTGCTTTTGAGCCAGCACAGTCAAGGTTAAACAGCTCTGCCCCTGAAATACTTTCCCTCTCCTGGAGACCTGGGCAGGGATAGGATACAAATCCTTTGTCTTTCACGCCACACTCATCGCGCACTGGCTCTTTTATTGTTTCTATTCTTTGACCTTTTTGACATTTGCTGAATGCATAATAAGAGCTCTCTAATGTTCCAAACACTCTAAAATTTGGGGGTCATGGTTTGGGACATTAGAATAGCATTGGTTCCTGCATGAAACACACATTTACTAAACTTTGTGGCACCCCAAGAATTTCTTCATTCATTCATGCTGTAACTTTGGGAGAATCTGTGTGTGTGTGTGTGTGTGTGTGTGTGTGTGTGTGCGCGCGTGCGTGTGTGTGTGTACGTGCCCGTGCACATTAACATTCAGTCTTTCCCACCCCACTGTTGACACTTTCCCCCCACAAATGCCCACCTATCGGTCAACCTCTTTCTTCTTGCCATCAGCTTTGCAAACCTTCCGCATTTGTACTCATATGTCAACATGTTGTGTCAGAGCCATTTCCAATTTTTTTGAAGTCCAAGATAAATGCAGAAAGAACTTGCACTGTGGCTGAACTCTCCCTAACTTCTTGAAAGGAAAATGTCTGTGTGGCATGACTTTTTCCATCACTTAATCCAACTGTGCACTCCCACAATAAGAAAAATCCGAAACCTAGCAGGCTTACGACGCCTGGATCCGGTCAGTGGCAAGTGGCTGTTCAGGGCCACACAAGTGAGGTCCGAGGGCCCAGCCAGACTACCTCTAGCCTTCGGTGTGTCCACCAAAGCGAGGGCTCCATCTTTCGCCGGAATCCTGGTTTTGTTGCCACTATTCTGTGAGACAGTAGTCTTATGGGAATGATTCTACGGGTCTCGGTTCCCTTGCTGTCATTTATTTATTGTATCCGAGGTTTGCAGAAATTTGTAAGCATGTGTTTAAAATTCCGGTTGACTTTCATCTCCCTAACAACTGAATCTTCGGGTGACCTTTCCAGTGTATAATTTAGATCAAGGAAGCATCACAGTAATGAATCTGGATTCTCGAAGTTTATAAATGAAAGACAAACTATTTATAAACAAATAATAAAACCAATCAAAATGAGGTTTTGTTTTGTTTTGTTTTTAACAGGAAGAAACTCCAGAAATGTCATATAGTGCTTCATTTTACAGATTAAAAAGCTGAGGATGATGGGGCACCTGGGTGGCTCAGTCGGTTAAACCTCTGACTCGTGCCCTGTCTGTCTCTCTCTCTGTTTCTCCCTCGAAAATAAATAATAATCACTAAAAAAATATTTTTTTTAAGCTGAGGATGCCGTCTACAAAATGAAAAGGCAGCCTACTGAATGGAAGAAAATATTTGCAAATCGTATATCTGCTAAAGGGTTAATATACAAAATGTATTTAAAAAAAAAAAAAAAACCACCTCACACAGGAGCACCTGGGTGGCTCACTCGGTTAAGCCTCAGATTTTGGCTCAGGTCATGATCTCGTGGTTCGTGAGTTTGAGCCCCGCATCGGGCTATGTGCTCACAACTCAGAGCCTGGAGCCTGCTTGGGATTCTGTGTCTCACTCTCTCTCTGCCCCTCCCGCCCTCCGCCTCTCAAAAATGAACATTAAAAAATTTAAAAAAATACTCCTACAACTCAATCGCAAAACACTAGCAATTCAATTTAAACAATGGGCAGAGGATCTGAATAGACATTTTCCCAAAGAAGACGTACAGATGGACAAGAGGTACCTGAAAAGATGCTCAATATCACTCATCATCAGGGAAATGCAAATCAAAGCTACAATGAGATGTTACCTCACACCCGTTAGAGTGGTTCTTGTCAAAAAGACAAGAAATAACAGGTGTCGGTAGGGCTACAGAGAAGAGGAAACCCTCGTGTACTGTTGGTGGGAATGCAAACTGCTGCAGCCACTATGGAAAATAGTATGGAGGTTCCTCAAAAAAGTAAAACAGAAATTCCATATGATCCAGCAATTCCACTTGAGTATTTATCTAACAAAAATTAAAATACTACCTTGAGAAGATACGTGCACCTCCCTGTCATTGCGGCATTATTTTCGATGGCTAAGACATGGAAAGACCTGAGCGTCCATTGATGGATGAATGATAAAGAAAACGCTGTGTATATGCCGTGAAATACTATTCAGCCATAACAAAGAATGAAATCTTGCCATTTGCAGCAACATGGATGGAATTTGAGGGCAATAAACGAGACTAAGTGAAATGGGTCAGACAGAGAAAGAAAAATGCTGTATAATCTTACTTATATGTGGAATCTTAAAAAAACAGAACAACCCAGTTCACAGATACAGAGAACAGATTGGGTGTAGGGGAGGGGCCAAACGGTGAAGGAGATCAAAAGGCAAAAGCTTCCAGGTATAAAATAAGTCACTGGGATGTAACGGACAGCGTGGTGACTATAGTTAATAGTGTATTGCCTATTTTAAAGTTCCTAAGAGAATTGATCTGCAAAGTTCTCATCACAAGAAAAAAATTCTGTAACAAGGTTATGATGACAGATATTAACGAGACTTCTTGTGGTGATCATTCTACCGTCTGTACAAATACAAAATCATAGGTTTGTACCCCTGAAACTAATATAATGTTGGATGTCAATTGCACTTCGGTTTTGTTTTTGGTTTTTTTAAAGAAGAAGAAAAAAGGCTGAGTCCCGAAGTTACCCTGTGGCATTTTAACATGCAACACAGAAGCTGGGCTCCAAGTAAGCAGGCACTAAGTGCTTGTTGGATGAATATTTGTGATGAAGTGACTTGGCATAAGAAAGAGTCTCCAAGTGCCTGGCACTTAGAGCTTAATAATAAGACCTATCAATGGAAACTCAGCGAGTACCATTAAGCCCAGGGACCCAACTCTCCGCAAACCAACCCATCTCACTGTGAAATATGACTGCAGTGTTCACTTTCTTCTTTCTTAAAATGTTTATTTATTTATGTTTGAGAGCGAGAGAGAGAGAGCACACCCAGGGGAGGGGTGGGGGGGGGGTGAGGCACACAGAATCCCAAGCAGGCTCCGTGCCATCCAGGCAGAGTCCAAAGTGGGGCTCCAACTCACTAACCCTGAGATCACTAACCCTGAGAGCATGACCTGGGTAGAAATCAGGAGTCGGAGGCTTAACCGACTGAGCCACCCAGGCGGCCCTCGCTTTCCTTTCTGGACACGGCAGTGCCGCGGCAGAATGCCAAACAAGACCAGCCCCTCGCTGCTATGCCTGCTACCCTTTCCACGAGCTAATTGGCAAGTGTACTTCTGCTCACAGTGGCTGACCTTGACTGGGGCATTCCGACCCTCTTCGAAGTAGTCGTTTCTTTCCCCCCGATCGTCATCAGAGCTCCGGTGCCCCACCCAAACCCTTGAGTGCTCAAAAGGTGGGCTTTCGAGGCCCCCAGTCTGTTCTGAGAGTGGTGGGGAATCAGTCTGATCCCAAGCCACTGCCGCCTGGCCAGGTCCCCATTTTACAGCTACTCCCCATATGCACCGGGCCCCAGGATTTTGCCCTTGGCCTTACATGTCTGACCGTTTTGACAAGAAGATGATGCTGGTCGCAAATCTGGATACGTTTTCTCGGCAGGGTTTATGTCCCTAATGAGGTTGCAAAAGAAAAGTCGGGGATCCAAGATTGCGTTGGAAATCCCACTTGCTAACCCAGATGTGGTAATAATATTTGATATTAACTCAACCAAGCCTTCCACGGTTGTTAAAAATCATGGGCACGTCCAGGGGGGTTATTATTTCTCATTTCATCTGGGGATTTGGGGAAACTCTTTTTTTTTTAAATATTTTCCCTTTGACCGGTAACCTGGTTTGTGGAGTATTCGAACTTCCCGTTTCTGGTTTTTGCACAATCCATGCATTTCCCCAGTCGTTAGCATCTCCAATCAACAGTGGGAGAAGATAGGCCAACGAGAAGCTCACATCAGCCCAGTTTGTCTTTAAGGCAGCTCTTATAAAAGATTTCAAGGGAGAAAATGCTAAAATGATTGGCACAAATGAGGTTTGGGGTTTCTGCGGATTTGAATTGGTATGCTTTTCCTGTGTCCTACTAGAAAGGATAATAAGATTTAATTTGGATTTTGGCGTCAAGAGACCAGCAACTAGCTTTGGGATTATTACAGGCTCTTTTAGGAGATTAATTGAAGATACTTACTTGGGCCAAGGGAGAATCTGGTCCCTATGTTTTAAAGACACTCTCCTTTGTAACTAATTGCACATAAAAGATGAAAATGTGCTTTCATCTATTGATAAATTAGTGCAACTTAATTTTTTTCCCATTAAAAAATCCTGTGACATTTTTGCAAAACAATGCTTTTCACTTTTGATAGGCTCTGAGGGCTCAGGTTTGTTTCAGTCCCCCTTTGTTTGTTTGGAGACAGACCATGTCTTTGACGTCGCGAATGCATGTTCAACGCGAAGCAAAGGCTGGAGCTATTTGGAAGTCCAGAATTTTGCAGTATTTGGAAAGCCTGAGTTTTTTTCAAATGTAAGAGTGTTTTGAAACGCTGAATTTACTTGGCTTAGAAAATCCAAGGACTAAGTTTGTATTTAGGCATCACTGGCTCCACCTTCGGCAGCCCTGGGTCCTGGACAGAAACCAGGGGAACCATGTGACTCTGGGAGCGAGTCGGGCTGGCACCAGGCTCAGTTTCCATAACCTCAGGGCAAGGTGAGGAAGAGCTGAGCCTCTGAATCGGCCACAGAATGTGAAATGGAAAATCTAATGCTGGCTCTGCCCCTGCCCCTGAGGAAAATATGCCGAGAGCACAGAGAGTCATTGCCCCGAGGGGCTATTCCTCGCCTTGGAGACAAAGTCCAAGAGTCGCTTTATTTTTAAGGGTCTAAAATAAGTTCACAGTCGTGCGAGGGAGATGATCTGAACGCAGATCTTTTGTTCAGCTTCTCTGCATGTATCACAGGCCCGAGCGTGGCACTTCGTAGGTCGTGGCTGTGCAACGAAAGCTCTTTCTGACTTGCGGTGTTAAAGATCCGGAACGTTATAAAATGTCTTGTTTTTCAGATCCTGTTAAGAATCGCAAGAAGGTATGAATTTGAAGCGATTCTCTAAGGGACAAGTTTCTATCTGGGGGGAGATGAACGTCCGTGCGGTTTGGTTGCTTCTCAGGTCCCACGGCACGTGCAGTATATAATCCATAAAATACACATGTACAACAATATTGGGTTTATTTCTCAATACCCTGCTCGGGAACAAAAGGACAAATGGTCTGGTGTTAGGAACTGTGCCGAGGAACAATGTGGATAATATTTTTACTGTAGTTTATACCAGCCTTTGTCTTCGTGGGGAAAACATTCTATTTGCTTTCTTTTATGACTGCCAGCAGGGTGTCTTGGAGAGAACAATATCTTCAGAGTTTTCAGGGCTGGGGAATCCAAGAGCATAAGTAAGGCCAGGAGCTTTGTCAGAACTAACTGCTCCCTCTGCCTCATAAAACTGCTATCTACATCAATCTATGTTTATTTTTTCCTCCTGCTTTTTAATTTGCTTAATGGACTTCAGCTGAAAACTTTCCTCAATGTCTGAGGAAAGGAAAGTCTAATAAACCCCTAAGGACTTAGCAAGCATAGTTCAGCGCTTTTGGATTATTTTGTCTGACTTTCATCTTTGCTGCTGCAGAAACAATGGCCGTGGAGGACCTTGAACCTCACCCCGAAGATTTGGAGCCTGGGAAGCAATAAACCAGATAAGTCACGCTTCCCTGCTCTCTGTTCTCCTTCTCTGCTGTGCCGTTCTCCTGACTCCCCTGGTCTGTCTCTGCCTCTTTCGGTCCTCCTCCTCCTCCTCCTCCTCCTCCTCCTCCTCCTCCTCTTCTCCCCCTCCTCCTCTTTCTGGTGCAATTTTATCTCCAGTTTCATATCATTTGCTTTTTCTGCACTTTCTTTGACTTAATCATAAGCCAGAAAATGACATAGCCTAACTTTTCAGCTCACTGCACCAAGGGCTATAAGGGTTCAGCACGATGAAGGAGAGGTTTCCGATGTCTGCAAGAAGCTCATACTCTGGCGGAGATGAGCGCCGGACGTGTCGGGGTGGTGAAAGGAGAAATATCATTTGTTGGGGGATCAGGGAAAGCTATGCTGAGAGAGGTGGGATTCGCTGATGATGCGACGCGAGGTTTTGATGGCAAGACTGAAGGTTGAAGTAGCTGATGTTCTAGAGTTGGATATTCGATCACCTTCGTGAGAAACCATTGGCTAACTGGCTAAACATCCAGACTATTGGGTTTAGCAGCCAGGTGCACTCAAGCAACATTTTTGGGTAGGGACCCAGGAATCTGTGTATTCAGCAAATGCTTTCATGGTTCATGAGAAGTTTGCAGAATCACCGACTCAAGCAGTAGGGAGCCTTGAAATTCATAAATCAAAAAAAAAATTATTTTCTTTTCTTTTTTTTAATTTTATGTTTTAATTTAAAAAAAAATGTACATCCAAATTAGCATGGAGTGCAACAATGATTTCAGGAGTAGATTCCTTAGTAGATTCCTTACCCATTTAGCCCACACCCCCTCCCACAACCCCTCCGGTAACCCTCCGTTTGTTCTCCATATTTAAGAGTCTCTTATGTTTTGTCCCCCTCCCTGTTGTTATATTATTTTTGTTTCCTTTCCCTTATGTTCATCTGTCTTGTCTCTTAAAGTCCTCATCTGAGGGAAGTCATATGATTTTTGTCTTTCTCTAATTTCACTTAGCATAATACCCTCCAGTTCCATCCACGTAGCTGCAAATGGCAAGATTTCATTCTTTTTGATTGCCGAGTAATACTCCATTGTATACATATACACCATGTCTTCTTTATCCATTCATCCATCGAGGGACATTTGGTCTCATTCCATACTTTAGCTATTGTCGATAGTGCTGCTATAAACACGGGGGTACATGTGTCCCTTCGCAACAGCACACTTGTATCCCTTGGATAAATACCTACTAGTGCAATTGCTGGGTCGTAGGGTAGTTCTATTTTTAGTTTTTTGAGGAACCTCCATACTGTTTTCCAGAGTGGCTGCACCAGCTTGCATTCCCCAAATTTCTTTTATTTTTAAACTTTCTTCTGATGCTTACTCTTTTACTTTTTAAATTTTTTAATTTATTTTTTTAATGTTTATTTATCTGAGACAGAGAGAGTGCACATGAACAGGGGAGGAGCAGAGAGAGAGGGAGAGAGAACCTCAAGCAGGCTCCATACCCCTACTCTGTCTTTTAAAAGTTGCGTATTTTAGGGGCACCTGGGTGGCTCAGTCAGTTAGGCATCCAACTCTTGGTTTCTGCTCAGGTCGTGATCTCATGGTTCGTGGAACTGAGCCCCTCCTCGAGCTCTGATAGTGCAGAGCATGCTTGGGATTTTCTCTCTCCCTCTCACTCTACACCTCCCCCACTTTCTTTCTCTCTCTCTCTCTAAGTAAATCAATAACCTTAAAAAAATGAAAGCAGCATAGTTTAATAGGTAAATATGATTATTTTACACTTATTGTATTTATCAACACATTTGGGCTACTTCCTACGACTTTTCTCGTACCACGTTTTTTCTTTTCTTTTTTCTCTTTTCTTTCTTTTTTCTTTTTCTTTTTTTTCTTCTAACTTTCCTGACAACGGTTGAATTGTTAAAGGTTTTTTGTTGTTGTTATTGTTGGTGGTGGTGGTTTTGGGTCTGCTTTTTTGCCCTCTTCGTTTGCTTAAATATTACAGCTTATAATGTTTCGTTTTTAGGTAAAATTCGTTTAACTTTATTTTACATTTCCCCAGTGATATCTTAAGTTATCCAGTGCCTCTGTCTTCCTCCCAAACAGGACAAGTGCTATTACTAGGCTGGCATGTTTTATATACTTTCCATCTTACCCCCTATCTTCATATTGTTGCCATCTGAATTTCAGGGCTACCTCTTCAAAAGCAAAATACAATAAGGACACCTGGCTGGCTGTCAGTTACGCATCTGACCTCGGCTCAGGTCGTGATTTCGTGCTTCCTGAGTTCGAGCCCACATCGGGCTCTCTGCAGTCAGCACCGAGCCCATTTCGGATCCTCTGTCCCCCTCTCTCTACCCCTCCCCCACTTGCGTGTTTTCTGTTTCCCTCAAAATAAATAAACTAAAAAGATTATTAATATTTAATTAACAGTAGTGAGCTCTATCAACTTATTTTACTCGCACTTTTCTTGCTGAAGCCTATGTTCCTTAAAACCTCAGGAAGGCTCTGTAGGTAGTCAATTTTCTGAGCGTTTGTGCTTGAAAATGACTTTATTTGGCCCTCATGACCGAACGATCCTTTATCCTGGTGTGACTGACAGTTGCTTTCTCCAGCACTTTGAGGACATTATGCCACTGTCTTTCGATATCTGTTGTTGGTGAGGTATTTGCTATTAATAGCAGACAAGGGTTAATGTGGTCTCCATGATCTTCCCTACTGGTGTTCGTAATCTCTCCTTTTGAGTGTGGCTGCTTGCTTCTAATCAATAGACTACGGCCAGGGAGATGAGATATCACTGCTGGGATTGTGGTATGTTGTGTAAGACTGCCTTGCTAGCAGACTGGCTCCAGAGTCGGGTGCTCCTTGCTGCTTTGAAGAAACAAATAATTGTGAATCTAACAGTTGCAGGAAAAAGAATTCTGTGGACAACTTGAGTGGGCTTGGAAGTAAACCCTTCCCCAGTTGAGCCTCCAGACGAGAACCCAGCCCTGGCTGACACCTTGACTGCAGCCTCACCAAGAACCTAGGTAAGCTGTATCCTGACTCCTAACCCATAGGAACTGTGAGATAAAGAAATGCACGTGGCTTTAAGCTGCCAAACGTGTATTAATTTTTTATGTAGCATAGGAAACAACTATATCACCCACCTGTTACTCATTTGTAGGAAATTCATCATATTTCTCTTAAACCTTCTAAAATTTGTCTCTTTGATAATCTGCAGTTTCACTACAAAGTGTCTAGGTATAGTTTGATTTTATCCTTTCCACACTTGGCATGCACTACATAAATGAGGACTCTTTTTTCCTTCAATTCAGGAAAATCCTCAGCCGTTAGTTCTTCAGAAATTGCCACTCTACCATCCTGTATATTCTCTGCTTCTGGAACTCCTATTATGTCCTTTGGGGAGGGTTACCTGGATTCTCTTCTATATTTCCCATCTCTTTGTCTGCCCGTGATTCACTCTGGAGCGCTGAGAATAATATTATAGTACTATTCCTTCCTGCAGCTGTGACACATCTGATATTTATTATCCCTTCTGTTTAGTTTAAAATTTTGGTTTATGTATTTTTGTTTGGGTTCTAATATTTGCCTTTTGTAAGCTCCCCTGTTCTGGATTCAAGTATTTCTGTTTTTGTTTCTTTGTTTCATAATGTCTTGCTCTTGGTTTAGCTTTCTTGGAAAGACGTGTGTGCATGTTTTCCTTTCCTCATGTTAGTGCCTCTATCTGGATAGTTTATTATTGTCTCTGCCCCTCACGGTTTCTGATTTGGAACCATTTCTTCTTTCGGTGTGTCACGTGGGGATTTGACAGCTCCTGTTTCTACCCCAACTAGGGCTTCCTTACTTTGAGATCATAAAGTTGCCTCAAATCTCCTCTCACCCCATCAGGTAGCAGCTCTGTGCAGCTTAACAGCTTAGCATGGAGACCCCATCCAAAATGGGGAGCCCCAACTTAGACACTGATTTCATGCATGTTTCAATCGTGAACCCCACTATAGTGCTTTGTATTCTGTTGTATTCGTGACCTGCCCATGGATTCATGTATCTAATTTTTTATTATGGTTATGATTTTTAAAATTAGCTTATTTTAACCTGTTGATGCTGCATGTTTGGAATACAGGCAGGAGATTAACGTGTGTAATCACAACACTGTTGGCGATTTCCGGCATTGCTAACATTAAATTTTCTTACTGTCCTATTCGGTTAGGATAGAATATTTGCATAGCATCTTTGAGTCGCTGACCAAACCCTCTTTTGCCATTGTGTTTAGAGAGAATATATGAAAAGCACTTGTTAGGTTATGATGCACCTTGTTAGGTTATAGTTAGTGTTATCAGAGATCATCAACTACCTTCATAGGCAGATGTGATATCAGATTAAATTTGCTTTAAAAGATACACACACACACACACACACACATTTATGTTATTTATTTATGTTATTTATGTGTATGCTTATTTATTTTTATTATTTATCATATTTATTCAATATATATAATATATATTTCAAAGTAGTACATACAAGAAGGAAGAAGAAGTTATGAAAGCATTAAGGTGTTTTGAGCTACAGAAGCAGTATAAGATCAGAGTCAATGCAGGATACAGGATAAGAGGCAGCTGGAAGCAGGGCTCTGGGACTAAGACCAAACAAGGCTCTGGCTGGATTTGAAACCCAGCTCTTCCTTGCTTCTTGCACAATCATGGGTTCTCTGTGCCTGAGTTTCCTCATCTTTAAAGTGGGGAGAAGAGTAGAATCTTCCTTTTAGAGTTGTGGTGAGGATCAAGTGAGTCAATCCATGGGATGTGTGCAGATATTTTCTGGCATGCAGTCAGTGCTCAGGAAAGGCCAACCAATATTATCAGAACTGTAAAGTTTATTGAATTGGCAGTGTTGAAGAGGCTAATAGTCTTTCGGATGTGTAGGAGCTGGTGTTATCTGTTAAAAGGAATCAGTCTGTTTGTGATGGTTTATTTTATGTGTCAACTTGACTGGGCCATGGGGTACTCAGGTATTTGATCAGACATTGTTCTGTTTGGGTCTGTGAGTGCTTTTCTGGATGTCGTTAACATTTGAATTGGTAGACTGAATAACCCAGATGCCCCTCCCCCCAGTGTGGCTGGGCTTCATCCAATCAGTTGAAGATCTAAATAGAACACAAGGACTGAGTAAGAACTCCCCTTGTCTAACCGCCTTGAGTTGGGACATCAGGTTTGTCCTGCCTTTAGACTTGAATTGAGACATCAGTTCTTGGTTCCCAAGCCTGCTGGTCTTTGGACTAGAATTTACACCAGGGGCTCTCCTGGGTCTCCAGTTTGTTGACTGCAGATCTGGGGACTTAGCCTCCATAACCGCACATGCCAGTTTCGTATTTTCTAGCTATCTCCTATTAATTCTGTCTCTCTGGAGAACCCTAACACACTCTTTCTCTTCTAGCTGGGCTTTGTGTGTATGTAGGTGTGGTAAGGTTGTGTCTCGCATTACCTTCAGTCTTGAGTTTTGACCACATTGATGTTGCAAGACACTAACTTCGACACCTACAGGCCAGATGACATCGTC